GCATTGGAAGTCCAGTTTGCAGAATGGTTAGCCACTTGCTGTTCAACAAATGTTCTGTGATTACAACTAAGTAAACCTGAATTTCTGATTTTACTGCTGCTCAGCACCGAATGTTTTTCTGCCATATTACTTCTGTGATCACAAGCATGTGAATGCCCTGTTCTTGGGAATATAACAGATTTTTTCCTGATGCTTGTCCTCTGTTTGCCATTTGGTAATGATCATTTGATTTTTGTTATCCATTGTATATGTATAGTGTTTAACAATCTCTTCTCACTTGAGATAAATTGTATATAGTTCCCAAATAACAGAAATAGGAACTTGGACTAAGTTCCTTTCATTCATGAACAGTTCTAAGAATGTGATTTATATTTTCTGCTGTTAACACAAAACTTGTGAGTTTGATTTTATCTGAAATTAAGTGAGTTGTGACCTGGGTTCACTTGTGTATAAAAAGTGCATACTTTATCTCCTCAAGTGCAGGAGGCCAGCTCAGTTTAGGGAAGGGCCCACTTCTGAGACCAGGAAGACTGTCTCTGTTGTAAACTTCTTGAAAGGATTCCCACAAGACTGCAGTTTATCTTTTGCTCCATGATGGGAGGCAGTCCTTTGCAACAGCATCGACTGCAAAACAGACAAGCAAAGTCAGCCAGCCAAAAGAAGAGGAAAGGGGAGCATGCAGCTGCTCTGCCTGGCATGCATGTGTGGGGGACCAAACACGCTGCCTCATTTGAGCTTCCCACATGATGCTGCACAGGTAATGGGGGAAGTGACAGGTGATTAAGGCACAGAAAGTAGCGTGGATGAGTGGTGGGCATAGCTCCTTGTTTCAGAAAACGCCATATGGTAAGATTCCCCCCACCCGCTTTGCAGATGGGCCTTTCAGTAGGGGATCCTCCAGTAAAGGGAATCATAACTAGAATTGAAGTTTTGGGAGTGTGGGGTGGTCCTGCTGTATAGGCTTCCAGTTCTTTGACCTCCTCGCTCAGAAAATAGAGGCACTCCTGAAGGAGTAGATCTCCTTGATCCCTGCTATCGCTCTCCACAGAGAATGACCACTGTGTCTTCCACAAGGTGGTCTTTCATCCAGGCTCATCCTTCTACCCCAAGTTTAATTCTGCCTTCCATAGGTCATGAGCCTTTGATGCCCCGCTTTTTTCCCACAGGCAGCCACTCCCCAGGAGAGCTACAAGAAGAAAATGCTTGTGGCTACCCTTGGATGCTGGGCAGGCATTTAAGTTCTACCAGGATGAAACCAGACCCCTCAAGAGGCATAGCATACTGTTTGCTGTCTTCGGACCTTCCTCACTAAGCAAGAAGGCATCCATAACTTCCCTGGGCCAGAATCTGCATGTGGCCGCCATGTGGCCATTGATGCATACCTTCTCCAGCCTCTACAAGATTAACCAGATGGCCTCTGCAGATTGTACCTTAGGCAGACATATTCTTCAGAAGGTACTTGTATCCTAACAGGAAGCTGATCAGGGTGTCTGTTGGCCTGCGCAGGGATGACCTGCCTGTTTTTCTACATCCCCAAATGTAGCTGGCCTCCTATACTCAAGGGGAGAAGCAGAAATCCTTTACTCTTTGTTGACTTTTTGTTCTCAAGTGAAGGAGGCCAGCTAGGTGGGCTTCTTTCCTGCTTATTTCACAGCCTGAATGCTTCACAAGTGGATTCAGTGGATCATTCAGAAGAGGGAAATCTGGTGGCTGCCACTGTCTCCAAGTAATTGGAAAAGTCAACTGGAGTCTTGCAGGGAGAGGTTTACCATGGAAATTGCCTTCCCAGTCCCAGAGGTGGGATATTCTCCAAATCTAGCTGGCCTCCTGCTCTTGAGGAGAACAGGAATCAATGATGAGTAAAGAATTTCCATTTCTAAGTAAGTCCAGCACAAAAAGGAGTTGGCACTCACATCCTTGACATTGGAATACACTGCTCTAGTTTCACCATGCAGGAAAATGCATTTATTTAAATCTACTGAGGTACTCCGCTTTTTGCCCAGCTTTTCATTTTAATATATCTTAATGTTAAACACACATAATTATACTTTGAATGCAGTTGTAAATGAAGTAATTTCAGTCTTAAAATTTCTAGGCAACAAGAAGCAGCAAAGTTTGGGCTTTTAATTACTGGGTTGCAGTATTAACCCTGAATAACATATCCATTTGCAGAAGTATGGATTCATTTAAAATTATCGTATGCATATATTCCATTTTCTGAAAGGTTTAGATTCATTATAGGTAATGTCTCATCACACAACTTAAGCATCAGTTGCTTTAAAATTCCAGCTAAGTGGTGGTAAATCAGGAAATGAGTTCTGTTTGTGAGTGTCCTTGGGCTGGCAAATCTACATTCCAGCAGCAAGCCTTGCCTTTCTTTCTCCCTCTTGAATGGGAATAATGTTGTGTGCCTCACAGAGATAATGCAGGGATGAGCTAGGTACATGGTGCTTTAGAATGGTGAAAACAAAAACGTCCTTATCTTTTCCAAAGGAATTTACAGTTTAAAATTAAAAAATGGTCTACTTAGGAAAATCTTTTTACTAAGGCAGAAATTCTGGGCTCAGTACTCCTCCTCTTGCTTTCTTTCTGTTGTGGACTGGCTTTGTTACTAAGATTCTGGCTTGCATTAAGCTGGACTTCCCTGGTAAATCTGAACCAAAGGGTGAAACTGGACTTCTGCAGTTGAGACATAAGTGGAAACTTGGTTTAATGCAAACTACAATGAAGCCAGGGGTGAGGCAGTGATGATCACAGTTTCATAAACTATGGGAAAATGAAGAGGGGAAGGCAGGAAGAGAAGAGGGAGGAATGAATGTGACCAAGTACCATTACATATACTTAAAGCTTAGTATGAAAGGAACCTATCAAAATGTATTTTGGATTTTATAGAAGTCTTGCATATTTATGCATATGTAGTTTACTTTTTTTTTCCTTCTGCAAGCATTCTGTACCTATTTTCTAGCTTTGCTAGGGTCTCAAGGTAGTGTTGGGTTTATTTTGGTAATTTTTTTAAGCCTGGGAGAGGAAAAACACATTTAGTTCAGCATGGTTAAACCCTGCAGAATGAACTAGGATAAAATTGATCTTTCGGCCTGGGTGGACATTTTTGTACAGCGTCTTTTACTTTTCCTAAGGAGTGGTTGATGCTATCCTCTCCCAAGGGCTAATTCCTAATTCTGAATCCACTTGGGGGCTTCTAACTGGAGAGAGAAACTTGTATGGAATATTATCAGTCCCTGAGGAAGGAGAAGAGATTGCCTTTGCCTGTCAATTGTAACTATAGTAAAGCAAATTTGTTGTGAATATGAGCACCTGGTGTATCACAAAGAATACCAATCAAGGTGAAATGACACCCATCCATACACTTCTGATCTTTAATTAAAAAAACTACTTATGAGCAAAACTTTAGAATTCACAGAGAAATATTGCTGATTTCCTTCTATTTCCTGTTTTAATATAGTAGACTTCAAAAATAACACAGGTCTCCTGTGAGAAGAAAGGTGGTAAAACTTAGCCATAAACTTCAGGCTGCATGTTATATGTCCTCAGTGTTGACAGGGTGAGAAGATAAATAGTCCATTTTCAGGTGTAAGACAATTAGCACATCCCTTGAGATGGAACAGATGGTGACTGCTTGTTTTTAAAAGCCCAGATGGATTGATAGATGGTTGACTACCTTGAGGAGGAGTGGTTGGCTGACTGCCATACCTGCTGATGAGGGACCTTGGAGTTTCACTGTGTTGAACAAAAGGTGTTTTTCCTCTCTCAGGCTTAAAAAAACAAGATAAAAATTAAACTTATAGGTGGCTTTGGTTTGCAACATAGCAGTGGAAAATCAAAGCAGATAAATGTCATTGGCAAAATCCCAGGCTTGCCCCATCGGCTTAAAGTGCAAAAGAAACAATCCTTTTACATTTTTCTGAACAGATAGCTTTATGCTAGGGCATGCAAGTGGTTCAGTTTGTAGGCAAAACAAAAAACAAAACCCAGCAAACCAAAACAAACCCTATGGAAAAGGTTTCCTTTATTGTACAATGTGCCTTTTTGTTTGGAAGGGGGGCTTGAGAACATCTTGTTAACCTAGTGGAAAATTGGGAACCATTTAGGTTGAAAGGGTGGATTACAGTATTGGCAAAAAGTTGATTATCTTGCTAAGTCTGAAGACTGGGCTGTTTTCGATTTTCATCTAGCATATTTTTTTTGTCATATGTTTCCTTCTCACATATCCCTTGACTGAAGTTTGTCTGTTACTGATGGATGTAATGGGGGAAGGAAATGCGCCAAACTCCAGCAACTGCTGGACAAGCTTTTCTACAGTTCTGGTGCAGTAACAGTTTTGTACTCTTTTTTTTTCCTCCCGGAAAGCTATGTTTTTCAGTTTTACCATTTTTGGCTTAAACTTGGTATTTAAGAGTCAGTTTCGGTGTAATTAGCAAGTGCTACTTGACCAGCTTCTACTGTCGGGAAAAAGTCCAACAGGTCTTGTGGCACAGTGAAGACTATCAAATGTATTATGGTACAACCTAACATTTGTGGACTTAACTGAAGGCATGGGGTAGTACTGTGTTGCTAATGCTATGCATTGTCACTTTTCTGTCTATGTATCTTGCAAAGCTTTGAGGCCATGGGGCACCATGGGAGGAGGATAACAAATTTCTAGGACCTTGGGAGACTGCCAAAGTAGGCCAACAATCAGAATGTTTTATATTTGACATGTTATTTTTTTGTAATTCACAGTGTTTCTACACCTTGGACTTTGGTAGAGAGTTGTAATACCAGGTTGTTTTCAAATGGCATTGCTTAAGCTGTGTTGGTCTTTGTGCGCACACATACATGTAGATATGTGATTGCCTTGAAAAAATAGTGTAGACCTGAGAAGGGTTTTCCTGTCCCACAGTTTGAAAAATGCTACTTACACACCTCTTATTCAAGTATAGTAGTTACTATGGGTGCCATTCAATGACCAGTTTCAATATAAGATTTCTTTTCTTTTACAGAATTGCTTGATTTCACAAGTGGAAGGTGACCATTCAGTTTGGTTAAGGTGAAATCAATTTCAAGTAAGGTAGGTTTCCCACCTCAGGCTGTTGTTAATGGTGGAAAGGGATGTTGCAAGTGTATGTATTTAATGTCTACATGAATGTATATGTTGCAAGATTTTTTAACATACGGGTACCCTTCTGTTGGTAGGGCCAACATTCACAGCAGTGCTAACAACTCAGTTTTTAAAACCCTACTAAAATCAGTGTCCTAAGTAAACTATAGCACTAATTCTTGTGCTTTCACAGTAAACTTTTTAACTCTCATTTTTCTTAACTGTCATATTTTGGGTGTTGACTAGATGTCAATTTCTGTTTGTTTTAAAGTCGTGAAATGGTTTCAGATTTCTGAGGAAGGACTGATAAAAGAAATGTTCTTTCATTTCTAAATGGTTCAACATGTGGTCTTCTAGCTGTTGATGACTTTCATGGTGTATCATTAGGCACTTTCATGTAGTAACTTTTCCCCTTGCTGTGCTTGAGTTTTTACCACAGATCAAACCATTTCAGCCATTGTTAGAGTATCATACAGTAGATCAATCATATTAGGCCTTGGGCTGGTTTGTTGAGATGTGTTGGTGTACAGGTGGCCATTTTGATATTGACCATCTGGGTATGCCACCCCCACTACTGTCCAGGGTTCGCATGATGAGCTGTGGCCAGGCAATAGATAGTCTAATCCTGTCTGGAACATGCTGCAGTGAGCCATGTCAGTTGGCTCTGAGAATAATGGTCTGCTTAAGGTCATACTGGGACCTCAGTTTGTGCTCAGGCTGATTCACATGCTAAATCGGTGACTTCAGTTCATCAGTGACTTCAGTAACTTGGAGATACATGGACCAACCAATTTGCTACACCTACAAGTGTGAAGCTAAATCTTGGTTCTCCTGTGGTTGTCTTGGCTCATTGGCTGCTTCTCACCAACAACTTTTTCTGCACCTTGAGTAGAGTTTGGGAACAGAAGTTGGGATCCTGCTGAGAGGTACAACCTGATTGAAAATAAAAATCTGAGGAAATGCTCACATAACAGAGGTCACTGAGAAGCCTCAGGAAATAGAAACAGAGGAGCAGGTGATTTTCATAGTAAAAGGGTGAAAATTATGCTTAAATGATGCAGGCACGTGCTAAGCAGAGGTATTTTGGTTTGAAGAAATCCATAAAATTATACTCTGCATTTGTATATTGGGTTGACAAGCAGAGGCCAAGGTCTTAAAATAGGCCACACTGAGCAGCATAGTAAAGAAGGAATAGGGGAAATATTGAGTCTGAAGAGCCCCAAATTCAAGCCAGTTCTCAGTCATTATTGAGGAATGCTCCATATATCATTTGTTGTACTTACAACACTCTTGCACATACGAAACTGAGCTGCAGCATGTATGGAAGACAATCTGTATACATTGTAGCTTTCAGGTATCAATGTCCATTTTTTAAGAATTTTAAAATCATGGAAGTGCGCTTTTTTTTGGAGTCTGTTTCAACATTTTCTCCACACTTCTATCTTGTTGAGTATGTGTCAGCAAATGATGAAATCTTAATCTTCTAGGGCTTCCTACATGCTCAGAATGCAGCTGACTCTGAAATACAATCTCTTGCGCTGAGGTGAAAGGAGGGTGAATGGTAACCCTTGATACTGCACTGTTTAGAAATCTCAGTTGGGGTGTTACTTACCCCTTGTAATTTGCTCCTAGTTTCCAAGAAGCAAAAGTATTCCCATTTAAGGAAGAGACTGAATTAAGTCAGAACACGCTTTGCTTGGTTTGCTGCTTGTATGGGGAAAGTGATGGGCCAGGGCAGGTGTTAGTTTATAGGGGTAAGTCTACAGCACAACCCTGTCAGGGCCATCACTAAGGATTACTTTAGGTATGCAGCTTCCCTGTTCCATTTCAAAAATGGCTTGGGCATGCAAAGGAATTGCTCTTCTTATTGTTATTTAGTGAGGTATGGAAGATGAATTTTGTACCAAGAACTGCTTCATGGATTTTATTAAAGTTGCCAGTTTCAAAAGCAAAATTTCAATTATTGTTTGTGTGACATATTTGCAGCAGAAGAATACGCTAGAGTGAGTTGCTTTCTGTTTTGTTTTAGAAGTGTTTTTAAGGCTCTGTTTGCAACATTTTCTAAAGCTTATATAATAGAAATTTTGTTCGTTTTTGAATTATAAGGATACTTATAGCCTTATACTTATAAAGAGTAGAATGTGTCTTTAAGAAGCTGGCTCTGTTTTTCTGTCACATGTTGACTTTTTTCCTTGAAAGATGCTGTTTGGCGTATTTCTAAGAGTTCCCCATGAAAAAGCCTGGGGGAGCATAACTATTCTCTGTTTACCAGTGTTCCTTTGAGTTTGTTTTGTTTCTCCATATTTTGAAAATCACAGGGGTTGTGTCCAAAATAACTTAACTGCATTCTTCATGTTATAAATGTGATTCTTCAAAGACATTTGATGCTATAGAGGAACTTATTTTCCATCACCAACATTTGAAACCTTGAAATACTTGGAAGGACTTCTAATTTTTTTGGCTGCAACAGGAGTCCCTAGTGGCTGTTTGATTGTGACAAGTGTATAACTTGGTTTAGCAGCACCAGGGTTTTTCAGAGAAGCCAGTGCCTCTTCCTGAGAGCTAGTGTGTAAGTGTTTCTGAGTGTGAGTTGGCTCTGTTGAGTGCTGAGGTGATACAGCTCCTTTCTTACAATATAGAGGAAGATTTCAGGAGGCTTGGATAAGATGACCCTTTGCAGTTGGCATACTTAAAGCTCTAACAGGATTGAAATCATGTGTCCTGGAATGAGAAAGTGCTTAAATTAGTCAGAGATCTCTGTCTTTTGCTGGCATCTGTCAATCCTGTATTTGGGTGTTTTCCTGAGGGTTCTTTTTCAGAGGCTGTTAAATACATGTTTTGGTTTTGCAAAGAGAAAAATTACTACACTTGGATTTCTGCAGATAGCCAGAAAGAAAAGTTGGAAAACAATCCCGCTTTTTTATTCTTATTCATTGTGTTGACAGGCTTGACTGAAAGGATATATCAAAGATGTCAAAAACAAACAAATCAAAATCTGGGTCCCGCTCATCTCGTTCAAGATCTGGGTCTCGTTCCCGGTCCCGCTCTTTCTCAAAGTCTCGATCTCGATCCCGGTCTGTTTCACGGTCAAGAAAACGCAGGCTCAGGTAAGTTTGAGTGATTTCTTCCAATTGTTTTGTTGTGTTCTCTGAGGGGGTTTTTTGGCTAATGAAACAAAGCTTTACACATGGGAGGTTTTTTTCCCCCAATAGAAAGCTCTTTGCTAGATTCCAGATTATTCTAAATACTATTCTAAATCAGCTTTGTTTGTCAGATCATTCTGTTTTTAAAACTTTACTCTCAATCAAAATGGCTTCTACCTAGATTTTGAAATGGTACCCCTTGTTAATACTGTGCTTTCTTTGTTAAGAGATGATCTTTTTGAGATGTTTTGCTTTGGAATTAGCTGCTAGCAAGTGTTTTGAGTAATTGCCCATCGCTGTTATTCTTTTTTTACTTTAAGGAATGCACTAAAATGTAGTGGGAAATGAGTATTTCTTGACCTGTGATTTGGCAGCCATGAAATCTGCTTAAGGTTTTGCATTCAGATTTCCAATGTATTTATCCTAAGGTCCTTGTGATTAAATTTCTGCTTTTCCTATTTTTGATAGCTGGAAACACATAGTCTCTGTAACCAGATACTTGATCTCTTTGCTTTGTTGGGAATTATACAGAGCAAGCACCAGTAAAATTTTGCAACAAAATCCCATAGTAGATTTTTCTTTATCTTCAGGCATTTTGTGGTTTTAAAAAAATCTAGGAATCAATCTGTTCATGGCACATTGTGCAGAACCACTTGGCTATTCCTGATGTTGGTTTCCTTTTCAGAAACACATCAGCCTCTAATGAGATTCTTTTCTACCAGTCATATGTTGTATTAAAATAATTGTAAAGGAATCACAAATTCTGTATTTTATTAGACTGAAAGTACAAGTAAATGTCAATAATTAAAATGCAGTTCTTGAGAAGGTTACAGTAAAATACAACTGGGGGAAGAGGCAAGGGCTAAGCCAGATGGAAGAGAGACTCTGCAGTACAAGCGATTTCCTTAACTGTGGGCAAAAGCTCTAAGAAGGGCTACCTTTAGGCTAGGCATACCCAGCTTCATTCATGAGTGCTGAGGCAAGTGGGGAAGAGCCCAGCATGCTAAATGTCCTTGGCTATTTGCAGCTGTTAAAAAAACTTTCCTTTTGTGAATGGCTTGACTGGATAAGCAAAACTGAAGTGCTGGTGCAGTACTGATTACCTTTCAAGGGATTAGTGAGCTGGCAGAGGTAGGCTTCATTCTTCCAGGGCAATAAGCTCGCCTTTCAGAATCTTACAGCAGAGAGAAGGCGCTGTGGTGGTTGGATACTTTTGATGTCTTGACTTGGGAAAGTATTCCAGGGAGCTTTTCTTTACTCTGCTTCCACTCAAGTCAATTTGTTTAGCTCTTTGTAGGAGTTAGCAAGTTGTGTGTCCACCCTATTTTCTAGAGTGGACTGGGCCTGTGTGATGTAATCGCCAGAAATTAACTTTAACATTGCCCAGCCACAGGCTTTGGGAAGGCAGAACATCCCTCTCCACCATTGTACAACTTCAGCTGTATTTCATGTACTGTGTCCTTTCAAATGATTTCTCACGAACAGCCTCTACAGATCTTTGAAGGGAAATTTTCACGTTCCGTGCCTCTAAAATGGCAGAATGGATTTTGGAAGGAACAAGCACTAAGTCCCTCAGCAGTAAATGATAACAAAATGCAGTAGCCACCTGGGGACTGGCTGCTTAGTGCTTTTGGAACACCTCTTAATTGGCTCATTTTCACTGCCTGCACCAGGCTGTGTGCATGTCTCTTCCTTCTTACATTGCTGAAACTGTTTGCGAATGAGACAGTATCCAAGGTAAGTTGCTCTGTTTTTTCCTTACCAGTGAAGGAGGCTCTGCTCATGGAGGAGACAAGATCGCAACTTCTCTTCATGTGATTTTGTGACAGATGTTCTAGCTGCTTGCACATTTTGTTCATGCCACTTTAAAGACAGCTTTTCACATGGGTTGGGTTCTTCACCAGTCCAGTGTCTTTATAAGTATTGCTTCCTGACATACGAATGATCTCTTGGACTAGTCTGAATTGCAGTGGCTCTCCAGGGTATGAGAGGTAGATCCCCCCACACAAATCCTTCACATGGGAGATGCAGTGTAGGGGCCTTCTGTTTACCAAACACCTGCTTTTCCAATAAGCTGTAGTCCTTATCCAGCATCCACAGGGAGCTGGACTTTTGTCATAGGCATGTAGCAATGTTATATTTATACCACTCTTTTCCTAAAGGTGCTTAAGCCAGCATCCATGGCCCTTTCCCCCTCCCATTTTATCATTGCAGCAAGTAGGTTAGACTAAGGGAATAGTTAGTCTAAAGTCACCCAGTGAGCTTAGACCTAGGTCTGTCCAGTTCTGGTCTGACATTCCAGCCACATTGGCTGTCACTTGATGCCAGTTGCATGTTTTCCAGCAAAGCAGAGGGAACCTGGCTCTAGAGCTGCACCTGCTAGTGCTCACCTGGGATTCCTCATATGCTGTACGCTTTGTATTGACATGTGTGCTTGTTCTGGTGTGTGTCCTAGCTTCTGTTAGTCTTGCTAAGCACAGATGCACACTGGCATCGAAGTTTTGTTGTCTAAAAGGGAGGACTGTTTTGTTGAGTAATGTGCTCTGTGGCAGAAGACAAGAGGCTTCAGCTGTTGGCCATTTAACTTGCTTTTGGAAAGAAAGAATAGTGCTAGTTATATTCTCCCATTTCTTAAGTCTTTGTTGTTTGTTAACTTTGGTGGGGATAGGGAGAGATCTTTTTTCACCCTTGAAATGAAAATTCCATCTGTTAAGTTTTACATATATGAAGTGGATAGGTTAAAGGTATAGGTGTCCTCAAGATCTATGTGGGGACAGGTTTGCCATCTGCTGCAATTGGTACTCCAAAAGGTAGGTGCTTTGAGGATGGTTCTTTGGAGGTGAATGCCTCTTCCTGTATGAGATAATGAAAAGCTAGAAATCAGCACAGAACAATCCTGCACATTATCTTGAAATCAGGTTAATGTCTTTGCATTGTGGTCAGAAGGCCGCAGTACCATGTGCAGCAGATGAAAGATATCTTTTCTTTCTCCTCAGTTCTAGGTCCCGTTCAAGATCATATTCTCCATCTCACAACAGGGAGAGGAATCACCAGCGTGTGTATCAGAACCGAGATTTTCGAGGGCATAACAGAGGGTATCGGAGACCGTATTACTTCCGTGGAAGGAATAGAGGGTTCTACCCATGGGGCCAGTATAATCGAGGTGGCTATGGAAATTACAGATCCAATTGGCAAAATTACCGCCAGGCCTATAGCCCTCGTAGGGGCCGTTCACGTTCTCGGTCACCCAAGAGAAGGTCTCCATCCCCGAGGTCTAGAAGTCATTCTAGAAACTCTGACAAGTCATCATCTGATAGATCAAGGAGGTCTTCATCATCTCGGTCCTCCTCTAATCACAGCAGAGCTGAATCCTCCAAGCGTCGGTCACTGAAGGACAAGAAGTCTTCTACCAAGGATGCTCGAGCATCTCAGGGCGCTGGGGACAACCAAGGCGATGACACCAAGGAACAGCCATTCTCAGGAGGAACCTCCCAGGATGTCAAATCCTCAGAGGGGTCGAAACCATGGCAAGAAGTGGGCACTTACGGCACAAGTTCAGCATCAAGGGCGTCTGCTGTATCTGAGCTGAGTCCAAAAGAACGCAGTCCAGCACTAAAGAGCCCTCTGCAATCAGTTGTGGTCAGGCGCCGGTCTCCCAGGCCAAGCCCACTTCAGAAGCCTAGTCCTACATCTTCTAATGCTTCTCAGCTGGGCTCAGCTCTGCAGAGTGGCAGCTCCTTTCAGGCAGGCTCACATCAGTTTGAGCATAACCTAGCAGGCTTGAGCCCAACAAGAAAGAGCCCTGTGTGCAAAAGTCCCACACCAATCAGTTCCATTTATGGGGCATCTCAGAAGGAGGAAATGGGGGCAGCCTTCTCCAAGAGGCAAGTTGGGTTGATTGATTGATTGATTGCCTTTCACCTGGTTTGTGGCTTGCTACATAGTTAAGCTGACTGTAAGTAATTAAAAAGTTTGGTTTAGGCAGGGTCAGAAGCACTGGGGAAAGCTGCTGTGCAAACAGTGAAGTGTAGGCTTCAGATAATATGAACTATGGAATTAAATGCCATGGGATATTTATTCTATATACTGTTGGAGCCATACAATGTTAGTTGCCCTTAGGTCTCAGTGTTGTTAATAGCATGTAAAGATAAAGGTTTCCCCTTGACATTAAGTCCAGGCATGCCTGACTCTAGGGGGCGGTGCTCATCTCCATTTCCTGGCCGAGAGAGCCAGCGTTTGTCTGCAGACAGTCTCCGTGGTCATGTGGCCGGCATGACTAAACACCGAAGTGCACCTTCGCTGTTACCTGCCCACCGAAGTGGCACCTTTTTATCTACTTGCATTTGCATGCTTTCGAACTGCAGGGTTGGCAGGAGCTGGGACGGAGCAACGGGAACTCACTCCATTGTGCAGATTCAAACCGGCGACCTTTTGATCTACCAGCCCAGCAGCACAGCGGTTTAAACCCCTGCGCCACCTGCAGTCCCTAATAGCACATAAATTGTGACTAACTTTTCTTGATTTTAATGGAACCTAAGTGCCACTACTGTAGTACTGAATCTAACCATCTACTTTTAAGACTCTTTTTCCAGTAGGGATTACATGGGGGAGTACACAAAATAGAAGCAGATAGTCAATTGCAATTATAAAAAGGTGATGGTTAGTTTTCTAGAACAAGTTGGATGACTGAATTCAGTGGAGATGGGATTGAGCATGTTTGTTTCACTTTCATCTGATAAACAATAGTTTTAAAGTACACTGCATTAATTGTATGTGTTAAATGGCTGAGTTGTGGTAAAATTTGGGTTCCTGTGCTCTCCTCTGGCACATGCAAATGGCAGCTGTTTAAATCCAGGGGTGGATGACCTGGTGCCCTCCAGATGGCCTATGATCAGGAATGTTGGGAGCTGAAGTCCAGAATATCTGGGGATCTAGTTTCTGCCCATCATTAGTATAATATAATATGCACTTTGAAGGGTTTTAACAGAAAAATTATTAGGAAACAAAAGCCAACTAACACAACTTTAAAACCTTGGTGTATGTAAAAATGTTATAACTAGGTGGTAGGAGGGAATCAATTCGAGTAGCATGGTGGATTTCTCTGAAAAGGGTAATTTTATTGACTGACTTTATTTAATTAATTTCTTAGCCACCTCTAAAGACCATCATTTTCTCATAGTGACTTACAATTTAAAATAAAGAGAATATTAATAAAGGTTTATTAAACATATAATTTTAAAATTAAACTGGTTACAATTTCATAAACTCTAATATAGGCATCGGTCTGCTCCTTCGGGGGTTCTATATCTTGAACAAAAGGAGCACATAGTTCCAGAAAATACAGATTTCAGAAGAATTAGCCCTCCTCTTGTATTCCAGTTTTGCATTTAACCAGTTGTTGGTTGCCTATGTAGTGCTGGGTTATCTCCCCAAGTAGCATACGCTCATGATGGCCCCTAGTATTTATTAAAAGGGGATTTGATAGACAGCAGATGACTTTAGCAATGACTACTGGTAATGGTAGCCAAAACTTTAAGCCGATCAAATGCCAGGGCTATTAGGGTCATACCTTGGCGCCATGTTCTTCTGGGGCACCTGCCTGTCTGTTGGTAATGGACAGAATGTGTTAGGCAGTTGGTTTGCCTCACATGGCAGCTGTTGCTTTCTTGAAAAGAAAAGCTTGCTTCTTTAAAATCATTGTGGAGTTTGCCAAAAGAATGGGGGCTTCTGTCAAGAAGAAAAATACTAAAAACATAGCCTCACCTTTAGTTCTAAGAATGGGAGGCTGTTTATTTCCTCAGAATACTGCAAGAGTTTATATTTCAAACTTAGATCTTTTTTCCAAGTGACATAATAATCTAGGATTCTAATTACTACAAATAACTGCTTAATTAAAGTAATATAATCAACCCATAATTGATTTATGCAACAATAGATATGGCATGTAAAAAGGGCATCAGGGATGCTGGGTGTCAAGTCAGTTCTCCCAGCTTGAATCAAAGTGCTAAAGATTCTATTGGGATTTTGTGTGTCTGTTTAAAGTACATGTTGTAGAGAGCGTTTGTTCGTGCTGCCTGGGTAGGAAGAGGGGAAAGCATTGCCTCTGATTCCTTGGTTCTCTTTCCATAGTTTCAGGAATCAGAGGTTGAGCTGCTAGTTTCTCTACAGTACTCTTTCTTTTAAAAATCATATTCTGTGCAGCCCTTGCGTCACATATTAGGAGTCAAGACTTTTCCAGCCCTGGTTTTGGTAGTGTTTGACAAGACAATTAAAAGAAAGAACACATTTTTTGCCATTATCTAGGGTCTACTGACCAGTCTTAACTGCTGTCAAAAGCCAACATGTATAGCCAAAGATCTTCAGCTATTGGATGGTATAAAAATAAAATAAATCATAATTGTACCATCACAAGGCTGTTAAGATGGTACTTGGCACATGCATTTTGGGAAGAAGTGTTTTTTAACTATTTGGAAATACTGCCTTGTCATGGGGTCCCAAACACTGCTACGTTTAATTGTATAGATAACCCCAGGAACTGCGTGCCCCTTTAAACATGTCTTTAAGAAGCAATGGCAGGGATTTTCAGTGTCTCTTAATTTTGTCATGGTTTGAAATTTACCTCTCTTTGTAGTTAAAATCTTTTTCAGCCAGATGGTTTAGACTAAATGCAATCATAAATTCAGTGGGGATTCCTAGTCTCTATAATGTTGCTGAGTATTTATGTTCCTCCCAATCAATTAAGAATTTTCCCGTTAACCTTTTTTGCTTTTATTTGTGTTTTGAATATCTATAGCTTCCATAAGGAGACTTGCCTCCAAAAATTTGAAGTAGATTTTGAGGCTTTTATTTCCACAGTGTGTTACTTAAAAGCACAGCAGTCCCAAGGTGAAAGTGTTGATGGGTTAATTCTCCACAAAAGGTTTGTAAGTGAATGCGCAGGTTGGGTAAGAACTTTTCTGTATTTCCGGCCTTCTAGCTGTGGCAAGTAGGTTCTAAAGTATCATTTTATTGGCTTTACTAAGCTGTGTGCCCAGGTTCTTTGAGCACTTGTGAACTTATTTCTAAACATTAAAAGAGATAGAATAAGCTTAACAAAACAGTACTTTTACTGTAGTAGCAGGAATCTTACAAAAGCTGCTTAATGAGAAGTTTGAATAAAAGTTCCTGAATTGTCTGTCCATTTGTCTGTCTGTCCTTTAAAATAGGTATTTAGAAGAGCAAAAGACTGAAAATGGGAAAGATAAAGAGCAGAAACTGACAAATGTGGAAAAGGACAAAATTAAAGAGAAGGGAAGTTTCTCTGAGATGGGATTAGTGGATTCTAAAACAAAATCTGATCCATATGCCTCCAAAGCCGACACTGAAAAAATATATCGTGGCAGTCAGTCCCCAAAGCGCTATAAGCTCCGAGATGACTTTGAAAAGAAGATGACAGAGTTCCACAAGGAGAGTCATTATAGCAAAGAGGAGATAGATGAGCCAGAGAAGAAAGTTAAGGGCAAAGGGCGAAAGGAATCCAATTTTGATGAGGACGAGGATGATGAACCCAAGTTTCTTCCTAAGATGGTATCTACTTCCAGCAAAAACCAGGAGGAAGATCGGACTGGCAAATGGGAAGGTTTAGTATTTTTGCCAGCAGCCAAAGAGAAACCGAGGAAAGCTGAAGAGATGGAAGAAGAATCATATACTGAACAGTCTAAGAAAGAGGAGAGGCTGGCTGTGAAGAGAGCAGAAGCTGGACATAGAGGGTTTGTTCCAGAAAAGAATTTTCGAGTGACCACTTACAAAGCAGGCCAGGAAAAAAACACCACTTCTCCTCCACCACGGAAGTCCTCCGAGGGCAGAGATAAGCCAAGTGCGCGGGGAGAGGGCCTGGCTGCTGGCAAGTCCTCCTTTTCTATTACTCGTGAGACCCAAGTCAACCTTCGCATGGATTCTTTCGATGAGGATCTCGCACGGTGAGGGCTGTTTGTCTCTGTAGCTCGAGTGAAGGGAAAGGGAGGGTGAGCCAAAGTGGAAGAAGCCCTGTAATCTGCAGTGAGCCCCGTCAGTGGTCCTTGAAAGAGAGCAAGGGGAACCCAAAAGGCTCACGGGTGCGTGTTCAGAGATCACACAGTGATCGCACCTGTCACTGAAGACTTGGGGGTAACATCAATAGCCCAAAACAAAATGGCAGGAACTTACAGGTGCTTTGTAGAGTGAGAATCCCATAATCTAAAAACATAATTGGCATTTTGAAAATATATTGTAGAAAATATGTGACTGAACCATATGCCAGTTTTATATATTTAAAAACAAACTGCAGTGGTACCTTGGCTCACGAACTTAATCCGTTCCAGGGCTCTGGTCGTGACCCAAATTGGTCGTGAGCCAAGTTAAATTTCCCCATAAGGTTCAATGTAAATAAGGTTAATCCATTCTGTACCTATTTTTTAATCAGAAAAATGTGAAGCAAAGTGTCGACGACAACAAAGATTGCAGCCATCCCCCCCACCCCACCCCGGAGCACAAGCGTGGCCATCTCCCCGCCCCCTCCCCAGCATGACCAATGGCGCCCGTCATCCCAGCATGCTGAGAGGGGAGATGGGCACAAACGCAGGTGCGCTTGAGCGGGGGAGACGGGCACAATTGTGCTGGGAGTGGGGAGGTGGCTGAGATCGCTTGTGCAGGAAAGACAGGCGCAATCACGGGTGCGCTCATGTAAGAAAGACGCCGCGATCTTGGCCATCTCCCCCCCCCCCCCCCCCCCCTTTCTCCCCCCCCCCCCCCCCCCCCCAGCATGATCTCTGCCATCTCCCCACTTGAGGGTGGGTGGGGAGATGGCCACAATTGCGGTTGCCACCCAATGTGGAATCCGTGACCTGAGTCAAAGTTTTTATGAAATTTTTGTTCGTGACCCGATTTGGTTGTGAACTGAGGTGTTTGTGAGCCGAGGTACCACTGTACAGTCATAAGCCTGCAAGTAATTCTAAAATATAAAGACAATCAGTTCTTTGGCTGGTTATGGCTTCTTATTTCTGGGTGTCTCTTGTGGTTTGCTTTTCTTTTCCTTCTCTTTTGTCCCCACCTTGTCTTCTGCTTGCCAGGTTTAGAAGGAGGTAGTTCACCCTGTTCTAACTGAAATTTTGTATTCTAATAACATGAACAAAACAAAAAACAAATCAGGCTTTTAAAAAAGGGACCCAGTCCACAAATTAACATATCTTACACCCCAGAACTAATAGTAAAAACTTTTCTGGGTACTGCTTTATAATGAAAATCAGATTGCCACTGAAGCAACATGGATATTTGTATATTTGTTCCATGGCTGAATTCAGAAGTCATTAGGAAAATTGGTCACTGATCCAAAAATCCATAATATTGACTGATTCCAGTCTTTGCTGTTGTAAAGGTCTGCCACCATGTAGTTATGTAAAAAGTAAAATCCACCTATTTAGTACATCTTCTGCCATCCATCCTAATTTGTCAAGTCGTTATCATCCACAGCTGAAGTTTTGCAGATCTTGGTGTGACCCTGTGCTACAAATGACTTGAGCAGGCAAGCAGAGGTGCTTCCTGTAGGAGATAGGGCCCCCATAAGCCAGTGGAATTTTTCCTTCCCAAGCTTAGGTATAGTTGTTCAGCAAGGGCAAAAGCCATCCCAAGGAGCACATCTGCCTCTAGTCTTGGCAGACCCAGTGTGTATTTTGGTATCCATCCTCTTTGGGGAGAATGCAGCCTGTGGGGGAAGCTCAGGGAGTGGAAATGGCCCCCAACCCTCCTGCAGTGGTCCAGCATGGGTTAGAGCTTGTTAGTCCTGCTCCAAATTTACAAATTCACTGCATTGGGAGACTCCCCTGAGCAAAAACTTTGCCATGATCTTTGAGTTCAGTCTGCAGCAGGCTAATACTGCAACATCTCAGGTTTTTTATGACAACTGTGATCACTAACATTCTTGTGTGTTTCCCCACCAGTCCAAGTGGAATTTTGGCTCAGGAACGCAAGCTATGTCGTGATTTGGTGCACAGCAACAAGAAGGAACAGGAGTTTCGCTCCATTTTCCATCACATCCAGTCAGCCCAGTCTCAGCGGAGTCCCTCAGAGCTCTTTGCTCAGCACATAGTAACCATTGTCCATCATGTAAAAGGTGAATTGCCTCTTGTGCTCACCACCTTAAAAGTGCTCTGTTGCCATAGATCTCTAGCAAGATGGGGAATGCTCTGTGCAATCCTGCATATTTCTCAGTGGGTTAATGGAACTTATTTAGTGTAATTTGGGCTTCATCTTGCAGTTGCAAAGTCTCCCATCCCAGGTGGGAAGTGTGTATGAAAAATAGAATAAAATGCCTCCATTTTGGCTTATTATTACATTTGCATCTAAGTTCGCTCAACTGTGTCAGTATATGTGAGCTGAGTCAAAGAGGCCAGTAGGCACCCTGTTGGTGTTTTTATGTGTGTCTGGTGATTCTTTCAGATGGGAAACGGGAGTATGGCAAAAAGCTTACCTGCAGTTTTTCCATCTGCAAAAGCATTTACAACTGAACACCAGCATCCTTGGGATCTTGTTTACTGTGTCTCTGTGGTGTTTGCATGTATGCGTTGCAGAATGCCGAAGCCCTTGCTGCTTGATGGGACCAGTGTTATTATGAAGCCTGATCATTCATAAAGGGAGCAGTTTCCGTGGAAAAAAATTGGCATAGACCTTGATCAGTAGCTAGAGAGTAACTTTCTTTTGGAGATGCTGCTACTTCCTGAGCCTAAATAATTGGAGCAGTGGTGTTTTCCAAAAAATGAGACAGATGGGTGTGTACATTCCTTTATTTCAGTGTCTGCCTGTTCCCCGGTGCCGAGCAGTGTGGTTTGAAGACCACTTTACATAAATACACACACAGTGTGGGATTGGGGTGAATAGGTAAAAGAATGTCCTAAGACTACTGAGGTACCTCTTGATGTTCAGTAGACCCCATTGCCAAGGGTAAAACCTAAGAAAAAAGCCTTGGCACATCCTGCTCTTTCTCACATACCTACTCTATAGTTGGCTTCCAGAATCCCTTGAAGAGCTCACTTTTATGTTGTCCTAATGTTTAATTCATATTAACAACATGGTATTTCCTTACTACAAACCAACAGAGCATCACTTTGGGTCTTCAGGAATGACTTTGAATGAGCGCTTCACAAAATACCTAAAACGAGCAGAGCAGGAGTCGGCTAAGAACAAAAGTCCTGAAATCCACAGGTGAGAGGAACTTGGCTTGCCACTGAGGTGTGGTGCAGGTGGGAAGGTATGCCCTCTTGTGATGAAAAGCAGGATGTATTGGAATGAAACATCCTTTGGGGCCTAATTCACCAGCACAAATGAGTGCAGTCCATAAACAAAATCAGATGCTCTCTGCTAGGTTTATGATCTTGCTCTATGCCTGAGCATTGTACAGGGACAGCTCTTCGAATCTGGTAGGCTCAGGCTGATGTTGTATCACTGCTCCTTGTCCGAGGAAACTCTGCCTGCTGCACTGTCCTTTTGCTCTGTTCCTGGGGCCTTTCAAAAGACAGTAACTTAGCTAGACCAATGTACACAGCATTGCTGTGCGCATGGCAAGGCACACCCAGTTTTACTAGGCTGGCCTTAACTGGTTTTGGTGCAGGCGGAGAACAGGCACTAATATGGCTTCCCAACCACCAAAGGCACCAGCCTGATTCAGTGTTTCTTGTTATGGTCTCTGCATTCACACATAAGGGCTCTGCATTCATCTGTGGAGCTCAATCGGGAAGATTTCAAAGCTGATCACTTACTATTTGGCAGAACCCTGTCCCCTCAAGCATGGCCAGTGTTAGCGGAGGGCTCCTTCCTTTCTACCAACTCCCCCAATATATTGTTTTTCCCACTTCCCCCCCACTTTGGATTGGCATCCTGCCCTTACCTTCTTTTGAAACCGGAGCTTAAAGCTCCATTTTGTAACTGCATGGACTGCGGCAGCAGACTACTGCCAACAGACAACCATTCCTTGTGCCCTTTTTTGACTCGGGGAGACCCATGTTTTTGGTGTCCTCCCTAAAAGCAGAATTATGGAGTTGAGCTCTTCATGTAGGCAGCTCCCCTCAAACATCCACATCAGGAGCTGAGGTCCCCAACCTTTCATGGAGCCTCCTACCATTCCTCTGGAAAAATGATACAAATTGGAGAACATCAAAGAGGTGACAAAGAAAAGCAAAGCCCTGAAAATGCCCAGCCTTTCCAAGGGGCAAGATGGCAGCAAGTGTGCAAAGAAATGCTGCCATGCACTGAAGACATGACGCCTGGACCAAAATCATGGCAACACTCCACCCCAGCCGTGGGACAGGCACAGGCGCTCCCAATCCAACCACCGCCGCCAACTCTGAGCGCTTTGTTTTTGGAAGGAAAGATCCAAGAACCTCCCTCTCCCATTTTGCGACAGTCAGGGTTTGCCTCTGGATGAGACACAACTTGCCACTGTCATCAATTCTGAATGTCTAGAGCTCCTTGCAGTGCAGAAATCTCTCTGGGCTTTTCAGACTCTAATCCAGAACTGTGATGTCTAAATTATTATGGACAACACCACAGTTGTTGCATGCATCAGCAAACGAGAACAAGATCCGCTCTTCTTGTCACCAACATACGGAGATGGTGTGCTGCCTGGCACACCACTCTTCTAGCAATCCATGTCACAGGGACTGACAATATCCTTGCAGATTCTCCGAGTCGCACTTTCACACTGTGCTACAAGTAGGAACTTAAGGAGATGATCGGGTTGCCCCCACATAGACCTGTTTGCCACCAAGGACATTACCGCTTGCAGCCTTTCCTGCTTCAGGGCTGGTATGGGCAGAGGATTGATGGGGCACCTTTCTCCTGGGGTGGAGTGGATGTTTTTCCACCTGATCCCTCCTTTCCCCCTCATCCTGAAAGTTGCAGCAAAGATCTGTCAAGATCACACAGACTCGCTCCGCATCACACTCTGGTGGCCAGGCACCATTGGTTCCCTCACCTTCTCGACTTCTCCAATGCAGCCTTCTGCCAGCTACCGATGCAGCGTGACCTCATCTTTCAGGAGCAAGGAACAGTTCTCCATCCAGACTTACATGTGCTGTGCTGCACAGCATGGAGGAGCATGTCACCTCCCATGCAGTAACTGACCTCAGTCCTGACAGTCAGTCAGTCCTCAGCCCTTCATTAAAACTGCCACTCGGAGATCATAGAACTCAAAGTGGAGAGCGTTCTTTAACCTCGCAGCACAACACTGCTTTCCAGTTGGCAAGGTCTCTGCCATCCAAACACTCTTGTTCCTCAACTCCTTATGCAAAAAAGGTCTCAAACCCTGTTCTGTCAGGGTCTGTGCAACTGCCACCTCCATTTTCTATACCCCGCTTCAAGGCCACTGTGTATTTTCTCACCCCCTCCTCTGGAGGTTTCTCAAAGGTCTTGTTAATCTTATTCCATCAGTCCAGCAACCCATCCCAGCACAGAGACTTTCTGTTGTCCTTCATGCACTTACACAGAAATCTTTCAAACCCATGGCTTCTTTGGGTCTCCGTCTCATTTGTTTTAAGACAACATTTTCAGTGACCATTGCCTTGACTCGTTGACCCAGCAACTTAGCTGCCCTCAGGATTGATCTACCTTATCTCACCTTCCACAAAGATAAAGTGCTACTCCATCCCAATCCCACTTTCCTACTGAAAGTCTTTCCTGCCATTCACATTATCATACTTTCAGCCTTCTTCCAGTCGCCGTACAACACTGTTGAGCCAGCCCTCCACTCCTTAGATGTTTGCAGGGCTCTAGCCCTTTAAGTCGAGAACACAGCCTATCCACAAGCCACAAAGGTTTTTCATTGCCTATGCTGACGCATTTCAAGGCTCACCTCTCCTCACAGATACTTGCTAAGCGCATAACTCACACAAACCACCTAGCATATGATCTCTCCGGCCTCCAACTCACTGGCCGGATCCATGCACACGCTACCAGAGCGACCTCCACAGCCGGGTATGCCGGAGTGTCTCTTACGGATCTCTGTCGAGCCGCGGCCTGGTCGAACCTCTCAACCGTTTTTGCCGTTATTGGTGGGATGTTAGAGCTGCAGCGGGCTGCACCTTCAGGATGGCTGTCCTCCCTTCTCTTCTGTGCTGGGCGACATCTCCCTCCTGCAACCTCACCAGTGGCCCATATGTGTGAGGCACAGAGAGCACAGCAAAGGAAGGCAGGTTGCCCACCTGTAGCTGTCATTCTTCGAGTGGTCTTCTGTGCATTCACACTTACTCACCATCCCCATTGTGTCACTTGATACATACGGGATATACTCTCCCCTTTACCCCTGGGGGAAGGGGGCAAGCTTATGGCAGGAGTGGCAAGTGGCATGGATTAGGGCATGGCTGATGGACCACAAGCAGGGGAAACCATGAGTGGGGAGTCCTCAGGATGGCACTTGGTGATGAGCACAGTACTGTGGGCCTCACTTCTGGGACCAGTTTTGTTCAGCCTCTATCAGTGACCTGGAGGAGGGGGGTCACCAATCTGCTGACCAAATTTGCAGATGTTAGCAAAGTGGGGGTGATGGCCACAACTGGGGAGCAGGTATTCCAGATCTGAAAGGATCTGGACAGACTGGTAGTGGGCAGGAACAACAGGATGGCGTTCAGTGTGGATAGCTGCAAGATCTTGCACTTGGGCTTCAGGAATAGGTGCCATAGATACAGGATGGGGGTTCAAGTGGCTGGAGAGCAGCACTTGTGAAAGGGATCTCAGGGTGCTGGTTGACTGCAGGATAAATATGACCCAGCAGTATGATGCAGCAGTTAAGAAGGTGAAAGCCACCCTTGGATAGCCAGAGGTATGTCTTCCAGACTGAGAGAGGTGTTGGCACCACTCTGTATGACTCTGGTCTACCCAGAACTAGAGTACTGTGTCTAATTCTGGGCTCCACATTGCAAGAGGGACATAGCAAGGCTGGAATTAGTGCAGCTCAGGGTCGCAAGGATGGAAGCCGGATGCCATATGGGGAGAGATTGAGGGAGCTGGGTCTTTTCAGCCTAGAGAAGAGGAGACTCTGAGGGGATTTTATAGTGACATACAGGTATGTGAAGGGGTGTCACACAGTGGAAGGTCGTGGCCCGTTCTCCCCTGCAGTGGAGGGAAGGACATGATTCACTGGGACAAAGCGAAAGGAACTGGGCTTCTGGTTGGATGTCAGGAAGTACTTCCTAATGGTTAGGACTCCTCGAAAAAGGAGTGGGCTTCCATGAGAGGTTGTGGAGGCCTCATCGATGAGGGTGTTTAAGGAAAGATAGGACAACCATGTGTTGGACATGGCATGAGTGAACCCAACTTAAAACTGGATGGTCCAGAAGGCCCCTTCTGGCTCGCTGTTTCTATATGATGGTGGTCTTACCATGCGAACTGAGGTCTCAGAGGGTGCCCCTCCTCCTCCTCTGGGTGTGCCTTAGGGGATGCACTCCTGCCAAATAATAATTAACTTTGGAATCTTTCCAACCGAGCACCACCCACGTACGCAGAGCCCATATGTGTGGATGCACGGATGACCGCTTGAAGAATGACAGTTGCAGGTGGGCAACCTGCCTTTATTCCACGATCACTGGCCCAAGCCGCACTTTACAGCCAGGGGTCTGTGTATTCCACGGTAGCACCGTCACCACTAAGCATGCGTGCATGCACAAATTCTTTTGGCCCAAGAGCCAAATGCCATTTTGGAGAAACTTTCAGGGATCACCTTCCTAAAGCCCTTTCTGCCCGTAACAGAGCCTTGGAAGAGTTGTGCCAGCCATTGAGAATGGGAGGAAGTGCGCAAATGCCAGGAAATCACGAGTTGGGTGCCATGGTGCTCCAAATTAAAACCCCACAAAGGCTTGACCTCAATCTTGGGTCATAGTTCTCCACCCCTTAGAACTGGAACTGTGCTTTTTAAAGCAAGAGCAAGGCCCTAAATGCACTGCCCAGTCCACAATCTTACCACAGGAATCTGTTTTCAGAACATGGCTGGACAGGGAACGGAATGCTAAAGGGCAACATTCTACTCAGCATTGTCGGTCGTTTTGTTTTGTTTTGTTTGTTTCAGTCCATTGCTATCCCTCATGCAATTGGACTGAAGCCTGATTTGGGCATTATCTGAGTGGCAAAAAGTGGGTTTTCTGTGGCATTTTCTTAATCACATTCTGCCTTTTTGTGTTTAGGAGGATAGACATTTCTCCAAGCTCTTTTAGAAAACATGGATTCTCGCAAGAGGAGATCAAAACTTCCAAAGAATCCAGCTACAAGGTGAACTGTTGCTTTAGATCTGTACTGCAACACAATTAAGTGTGCTTTGGGCATGAAGTTTATTTTTTTCTAAAAAGAAAAGAAAAAGAAAGTGATATTTTTGTTTAACTTGCTCTCTACTTAAGTTTGTGTTTTTCTTTCAAGGATGGGCATAATTCTAAAAATGAACTACAAAGGGTTAATTTTTATTAAAAAATGTATCAACAACCTTTGTGAAGTGGTTAGAAATATGGTAAATGACCCCCAAAGTCAATTGAGGTTGAGCTTGAGACAAAAAGAGTGGATTTTTGGAAACAAGTGACCTTGATGATGGAAGAGACTTTTTGTGATATTTTGCTGCTTGTAAGTATGACTAAATCACTTGTCTTACCCGTGATATTTCCAACCATGTTTTCAAAAAGACATGCATGTCAGAAAGAGAGGAAGTAAAGCAAATCCATGTCTGAACCAAACAAACATATTTTTTTCTGATAATGTGGTGTCTTCTCTTGACTAATGTTTATTTTAAAATGCCGTTAAGAGTTAAACACATCCCCTTGGGACATTTATGCTGTTATGGAAAGTTAAGTGGTTATGTGCCCCTTTGTTATCATTAAAAGACTTTTAATTCAAAAATATTTCATCCTAAGTTTAGGCATTATCTGCTCACCTGCATACAGGTTTCTTTTCAAGGTGTTTTTATTAGTAGTGCTGAGTGTTGTCCAAGCAATTGCTTTCATATTCTGACTTGCATTTGCCACTGATCGATCTGATGGAACCTTGTCTCTTCCATGGTACCTGGCAGTGAATAGGTGTGTGCACGTGAATAGGCACATACTTCAGATTTATAGACAGTCAAAAGCTTTGTGGAAGCTCAGCATGAAATGAAGTGGAACACATGGCTTCAGCCTGTCTGAATTGTGCTGGTGACCGTTAATGACAAAACATTTTCCATTGTGGTGGTAATAGATTTCTGAGCTGAAGAGTTACCTTCAAAAGCAAAAGAACAAATGGAACTTGCATGTACTGTAATGCCCGCTTCTGCTAAATTTGGAGCTGCCCTTTATTTTAAGCAAAATTGTGCTACAGGCTTATGGGAGAACATCTTTAAGAGAGAATTGCTAAGCGTTCTCTTGAGTTAAGGCAAAACTGTTTTTCCTTGCTCCAGTTACTCTAGGGTTTTATCTTGTGCTAGACTGAAAGCTACCGAGTTGAACTAAGAGGATCTAACTGATACACACTGTCAGTAACAAGCAGAGAAACTTGAAGCAATTAAAAATATTTCTGGGACAATCATTGTATTGCCTGACTGTTCTTTGCCCATACAATTTAATCTTGTGGTCATTTTCTTGACGATTTCTAACTAGAAATACCCTTTAAAAATCTTAAATAAGGGCAGGGATGGTGAAATGACTGTTGGGATGTTTTCATTTTATTTTTTTTTCTTTCCAGGAATTGAATTTTTGAAATAATCTCTAAGGATAGCTAGTATTTCTACCTACAGCTCCAAGCATGATGTTGGTGCTGAATAAATGCAATAATCATAACTATTTTTTCAGAATAAGCACACTTGATTCGTTTTGTTTAAATTATGAGTCCAAGTTTGACAAGTGCAGGTGTTTCTTGTCAAATATTAAGACTGGCAAAGGACAAGAAGGGAGGTCGAGAGTGACTTTTAGGTAACCCGGAGAAGCCATGCAGCACACCTAAGCTGTTGCTTCTGTTTGCTGGAAGCACAACCAGGTGTGGCTGGTGCATTTGCAGAGCAGTCACAAGGTCAAGAAGTACAGTGCCATGTTCTGTACTTGTGGTGCACAGCTTGGAATGAGAGAGGCTCCTGCTGAGCAAGAACCTTCGAGGCTGATCATGGGTATCTTTGCAGCTAGTGTTCATTGGAGGTTGACTGCACAAAAGAAGACTGTCTCCTCAGGACGAGGGTCTTGGGGGTGGCGGGAGGAATACTGTCTCTTCATTTGGCCCTGGAATGCTGGGTCATACCTGGCCTGCACACTTGTCCTTATGTTTGGATAGCTGTCCCCACTTTCCCCTGCAGCTACAGTGGAGGGAAGTGGGGGCTTTCCAGTATACAGGAAGAACCCTCCTGTACAGTCAGTTTCCTACAGAACATGAGAAGGTTTCAGAAGGCCAGAAGAATTAAACACTGTTTTAGTCAGGGCATCATTTACAGATGGAAGCCCTTAAGGGTTTAACGGTCTTTTTCCCTTTGTTGGACACTAGAGCGTCTTGCCTTGGCACTGCATTGCTTTCTGCTTACGTTTCACAATACCTTGCATTTGGTGTGGAGAGAAGTGAAATGGAACCTTTTGGTGGGACGGTCTCAGTGCCTGTATCGCCAGCTGTGCATCCTGCACTGCTGAGTGCTTCTTGGTATCAGGCCAGGTTAAAAAGGATGTAGTTGTGGCAGAACTGCAGAAGGCCTGGGTGTACAATCTTTCCCCTGTTGTTTCCCTCTAGGCTGAAACTAAATATAAAGATGACCCAGTTGACCTGCGTCTTGACATTGAGCGGCGTAAAAAACATAAAGAGAAAGATAAGCGGGGCAAGTCAAGAGAATCAGTGGACTCCAGACCTTCCAGTCATTCACGTGAGAGATCGGCAGAGAAAACAGAAAGGTCTCACAAAGGGTCCAAAAAGAAGTACGTAGCAGGGTGCAGCTTCCCCTCGCACACGGTAGAGTGCAGCACACTGAGCCTTGCCACTGCTGCGCATGGACTGTGGGGCCTGTGGGGGTGTGCGTGGTCCATTGTAGGTGAGCAGACTGTTCCTGTTGAGAAACAATGCTGTATTTCCCAGGGACTCCACAGAGTTTCCCAGAATGCAGTGTGCCCATTGCAGGTGGAGAAGGCATAACCTTGGCATGGCAAGTTCAGCCTTGTGGTGGAGCCAGTTCCAGTGAAAGGTGCCGTTAGCTGTGTTGTGCTGTGAGCGCTTTTCAAAATGGGTTTCCTGAATGAAGAAAAAATGATGGGACTGCGATGGCTTCCCCACACATAAATTGACTAGGTTGCTTGCATGTCTTTTCCCAGTGGTTGATCTCCAGAAGCATTTGAATAAGGAATAGTGGACAAATGTACCCTTCCTAAATGGTCTGAGTGTATATTGGTAAATCTTGGATGAGTTTGGGAAGTGCCTAAGCTTGAGACAGCCAAGTATGATCTGCTTCTGATAGAGTCTTTGCTCTCTGCTCTCTCTCCCCGGCTCAGGAAGCACCGACGTGTACGGGAGCGATCCAGGTCAACTTCTTCATCCTCACAGTCCTCACACTCCTATAAGGCAGAGGAGTACCCCGAGGAGACCGAAGAGCGGGAGGAAGTGGCTGCCCCTGGCTTTGACAAATCCCGTCTTGGCACCAAGGAGTTCCCCAGTCCAAATGAAAGGGGCAGAGCACGAGGGACCTTTGTAAGTTGTGCTTTCAGAGTGTAAACTTCAGGGAATCCGTGGGCTCTAAAAAAGCTGAGGGAAAATGCTTTCAAACTTTGGCAAAGATGGATCATGGATGGAAGACTGACTGAAGTTTGCATCCCAACACATCTTGCCTTGTCAGCTTGATTCCTTTTCTACCTGCCTTTTTCCACTTAATGAAACACATTTTGGAGACAAAGTAGTAAAACATGTAACAATGCATTATCACGGGAACTTGGAATCATAGAGTAGAAGCATTGGAAGGCCATCAAGTCCAACCCCCTGCTCTATGCAGGACCCCAAGTTCAAGCGTCCCTGACAGATGGCTGTCCAGCTGCCTGTTGAATGCCTCCAGTTTGGGGGAGCCCACAACCCCCCAGGGTAATTGGTTCCATTGCTGTACTGCTCTAATAGTCAGGAATTTTTTTCTGATGTCTAGCTGGAATCTGACTTCCTGTAACTTGAGTCCTTTATGCCATGTGCTGCAATCTGGAATGATCTAGAAGCGGTCCTGGCACTCCTCTGTGTGACAGCCTTTCTAGTATTTGAAAACTGCTATCATATCTCCCCTCAGTCTTCTCAAGACTATGCATGCCCAGCTCTTTTAATCTCTCCTCTAGGACTTTGTATCTAGTCTCCTGAATGTCCTTGTTGCCCTCCTCTGAGCTCTTTCCAGTTTGTCTGCGTCTAACTTGAAATGTGTTGCCAGAACTACTGAATACAGGGGAACTAGTACCTCAAATGATTTGGCAGCTCTACTTCTATTAATGCAGCCCAATATAGTATTAGGTTTTTATTTGTCCTGAATTTATTAAAATCATATTTCCCAAAATCCAGAGTATGTGTATGGCTTTGTTCCATTTTTGTTCCTTTTAAAATCAAGTATGTTATCACGTTACCCCAGAGTTACCATTATTTCCACCTTATCCACTAAATCCTTCTTATTAGTCAGTGTGAAGTCAAGGATAGATGACCCTCTAGCACCATCCATCATGCATGACAAGAATTTCTTGGAGAAGCCACTTCTGGAAGAATTAGTCTGGATAATTGGAAGTCTCCCATTATTACCAGATCACACTTCCTTGAAATACTGGCAGTTTAGTTTGCTTAACGGAAGTGTCATCCACATCTTCTCCTTGATTAGGTGTTCAGTAATAGACCCCGATGTTTTGTGTACATAGATTTGCAAAGGAGCAACGGGATTACGGTCTTTTTCTCAACTCTGTGAGAAAGAGCCATGTCATCTCTGCAGACACAAATCCATTTTTGAGAGCTGCAAAACCATCTGTGATAATTTCTAGATAGATAGATTTCTAGATAATTTCTAGATAGAAAAATTGCCCAGTAATCTTACAGAAACCTCTGGAAGAGCATGACGTTGTGAATGGATAAACGGAATTCATTTAACAAAAAATGTAAACATTGCATGAATATACAGCCTCATGCTACATAATTAAAAACCATTATTTCATGACGAATAACCTTTGGACTATAACATATCTTAAACAGAAACCTATCTTTAATTTTTTCAACAAAAAGCATTTTATTGAAAAAATACAATTTAAATTTTAAAATCATTTTTATATTTTTTTTAAAAATTGATTTTTATCCACCCTGAAGTCATCCCACCAGGTTTCAGTAATACCTATCAAGTCATATTTGCCTTCATGTATTGAGAGTGTAAGTTCATCCTGTTCGTTTCCCACAATCTAGGAATTAGCGTATAGACACTGAAGCCCGTGTGCCTTCCCTGGCTTCTTTCCTACAGCACTGAGAGGATTATTTGAAGTTTAGGTAGAGCTCTTCCCTGTGTTTGCGCACATACCTTCATCCACCTTGTCTGCCTCCCCAGTTAGACTCAGTTTAAAGTCTCCCAATGAAATTCTTCATGCTGTGGCCAAACACATTCTTTCTCTGGTGAGGTGCAGCCCTCACCACCAGTTCATCAGCCAGCTAATGTAGTCTATGGTCCCAGAATTTGAATCTCATGTCCCCGCCACCTTCATACACAGCCCTTCACCTGCAGTTTTTTTTTCTTTCCCTTGCTATTCCTCTTCCGCAAACTGGAAGGATGGATGAGAAGGGTCCAGAGGAGGGCAACAAAAATGATCCAGGGTCTGGAAACCCTGCCCTATGAGGAGATTCTGAGAGAACTGGGCACGTTCAGCCTTGAGAAGAGGAGACGGGGGGCATGATATCCCTCTATAAGGACCTCACAAAGTGGAAGGTCAAGATCTCTTCTGGCTGATACCAGAATGTAGGACATGAAATAATCAAGTCGCAACAACCCACGCAACAACCCAGATTCAGACTAGATAGCAGGAAGTTTCCTTACTGTCAGAGCAATACAACTGCGGAACCAGCTTCCTGGGGAGGTCATGGGTGCTCACACTGGAAACATTCAAGGTGAAAATTGATGGTTATCTGAGTGGGATGATGTAAACTGGAGTCCTGCAGCAGCAGGGGGTTGGACTTGCTGGCCTTCATGGCCCCTTCCAACTCTACAATTCTTTGATTCTATGATATGATATTGGGCTGCAACATTCTTGAGCTTCCTGCTGGCTGGAGCTCAGACTAGCTGCCTTCTGACTCGTTCTGTTTCTACATTTCCCAGTGCTTCAAAATCTGATGTGATTTCTTTGTAGCTCTGTTTGACAGTATCATGTGTTACTGTGTGGATAAGCAGAAGGGGTTAGGTGTCTGTGGGCTTTATGAGCTTTGGCAGTCTTTCAGTTGCATCCCTAATCCAAGCTCCAGGGAGATTGCAAATCCATGGGTCATTGCGATAAACTTGGATTTCAGTCCCATGCAGCAAGGAATCTCCCACGATGAGTACTCTTCTTTTTTTAACGTTGGGTTGATGGCCACAGATTTGGAAAGCAAAGCCAACCTGTTCCCAGATCTAGAATCTTGGATCTCTGGCACCAGCAGATGCCAGAGTCTGTGACGAGGAAGAAGCCATTGCAAACACCTTCAACAGGTGTTCAGGAGAGGTTGCACGCTGTGAATAGCATACAGAGTTCACTTTATGTTAGCCATGTACCTATTGAGCAGAGCACCACCTTTCTCGGGAGAAATTTCCCATTTGTGTAAGGACTCTACATCCTGGAGCAGTTGACAAGGCTGACTGCATCAGGATTTGATTTAGATGAGTGGAATAATGTAAATGAGTACTCGGTACGCAGACGAGAAAGTGACTTCTCCTCCTCTCCTCGTGGCAATAGCAGCCGTTCCGTGCCAGAGGCCGTGGCTGGGGAAGAGGCGTCTTTTCTGGCAACAACAACAGCGGCAGTGGCGGCGGCAGTGGTGGAGGCACTGACTTCCAGAAACGTGCCAGGGAGGAGGAGTGGGACCCCGAGTACACACCCAAGAGCAAGAAGTACTACTTGGTAGGTGCTCCCTGGGTGGTGGGGCTGAGCGGCGCGGGATGGCTGCGTGCAGCCAGCCCCTCCCATCAGGTGGCAGACAGTTGTGCTCGAAGGACTTGGCCTTCCGAAGTCCGCAGCTCCGAGTGCATGCGAAGTGCAGCAGGCAGGTGCTGTCAGAGGGGCTCCCCGGTCGACGCCGGTCCTGAGTGTGTCGGCAGCAGCTGCTGGAGGGCATGGGCAGTGGCAGCAGGAGAGCAGGAGCAGGCAGGGACGGGGCCCACTGGTGCTCAGGGGACTCTGTGTGAACCTTGTTTCTTTACTTGCAGCATGATGACCGTGAGGGCGAAGGTGGTGAGAAGTGGGCCGGCCGAGGCCGAGGCCGGGGCATCTTCCCCCGAGGTCGGGGACGTTTCCTGTATCGGAAGTCAAGCACCAGCCCCAAGTGGGCCCATGACAAGTTCAGTGGAGAGGAAGGAGAGATTGAGGATGATGAAAGCGGGGCTGAGAACAGAGAGGACAAGGACGTCCTCCAGTCAGTCGCAGAGTAGCCGTTGGAAACAGACAGAGGGGTCCTCGACCGTCAGGAGCCCGTGGAGGGGGCTGCTGTCAGGCTGGACTGTCCTTGATCCTTATTGACTAGTTGAATGTTTTTCTGTTTCTTGCTTTTTCAGTGAGCCCTTGGAGGACAATGGAGTGAGTTATGCCTAATATCTTGGCAATCATTTTGGTCTTTTTAATTGTGATAGAGGCGGTGGGAGTTAATTCCCTACTCCTAGGTTTTCTTCCTTCTTGTATGTGGATTGAAAAGAAATCTTTTATTTTAAGCATTTGCATATATAGAGAGACGGTGCCCCTAAAAATGGTTAATTTCAGAAAGTCCTTCATGGTTCTTATATACAAGAGCAATGCATGTGAATAAACACCTGAATAGAAACCGTTGGGACCAAATGCTGTGTTCTTAATTTAAAGGAACTTTTCCCTCTGCTTGAATTTGGAGTCATTATTTTAAAGGAATCACCTTTTGTTTTACCTTTTGTGCTGAAGTTTTAAAGTTAGCATGGCACAGTTGGAGGATCCCTCTTTGCTCCCCACTCCCCATGCAAAACTGCTCTTGGCTGATGTTAGCAATATCTGTTCACTAGATTTTTTGTGTATCTCTTTGCCTCCAATTGTGAATCCAAACACTATTTTCAGGGTCACATAGTTTTCTAAAACTTCTAAATATACTAGGTTTAAAAAAAGCCTGTAGCATGAAAAATGAAGATTTTTTCCAGTATTTTTATTAATCTTTTTATAAAGCAATTTTGACTCACCTGTAGCAGTCATGGTAAGTTGCTGACAGTTGCAATTCTCTTTGTGATTCTCTTCAGCTTTAAATCTGCAGTGCTCAAAAGTTGCTTGACAGGTGGAGTTCTTGCCCTAAAACCAGCTACACAGAATGTAATTGTTGTGTTGAGAAATTGGTCCCCTGGAGATAGGACTGTGTGTGCGTCTCTTCTTTCTGTTACCCCTTTCTTCTCTGTGCTATAAATAGAGCTAATTTTGTGGGACTGGTGCAGTTCTTGCTTAGCAAAGCCCACAAGTTTTTGTTTTGACTCCTTGTTCAAATAAAATTCATCAAAATGCGTTGTGTGTGTGTGTACTTTTTCTTAACGAACATTTATACTGATTTTTCCATTTTATGACTGCAGCATATTACTTCATATGAAGAAGGGCCAAAATAGCAAAGTTGGGCGAAAGGGGAAAAAGTATTTGAATGAGCCTCCTTAGGAATGGCAGGGGAGGACTCCCTCCTCTCCTCCCTCCATTGCCCCATTTACTGTTAGAAAGAGGCCATGCCTTGGCCGGTTATACCTGCAGGGCCACTAAGCGTACTGGGAGCCGGAATGGGCAGGCTTCCTGCTTGGACTGGGTTTTCTTCACATGGAGAGAAATACATCCTGCTGCCACCGCCTTGCATGTCACGGAACACTTGAGGGTTATTTTATACACTCCATGGAGAAGCAGGGTGGGAGGAGTGCTGGGTCAGGGTCTGGTTACAAGCAAATACTAGTTTTGTATGTCAGCATGTGTGAACATGCTGTTCTTTAGTCAAGGGTAGATATTCATGTAGGGTTTCTGGGTATTGAAGTGAGATTGAAAGCTGAATTTGAAAGACATGGCTGTCCATTTTACCACACACTGCTACAGTTGCAGAATCCAAGAGTCATAGAGCACCATTCCATCTCACTGGGATCAGTGCCTTATAACCCAACGGTGAACTCCAGCCTTGTGTTTCCCTTGAAGCAGTTGGAAGCTTGTTGGGGAGTTGAGCAAGGCCAGAGCACCATGAGGTGGGTTCAGCGTTTAAATCCTTGGGTGAGAGGCGTGCCTGGTTGTGTTGCTTGCAGCAGCGGCAGTTTTTCCTTCTCCCAGGTTAAAACAGATCACCTTGCCCCAGCATCCAAGGGGTAATAAGTGCACATCAAAATACTTCAGCAGCTCTCAGAACTCCCGTCTTCTGATGGGTATCACAGCACCTCTTTGCAGAGGAGACACGGCCGCATCCTCTGCTGGGCCAGCGACATACTTCATGTTCGGAAGGCTTCATGGCCGCTTTCATTTCTCGACTGCTCAGTGACTTTCCCAGGGCCACCTGAAGGGAACACAGGCACTGTGAGCACAGTGGCTCTTGATCATGGGTCCTCAAACTATGGCCCGGGGGCTGGATCCGGCCCGCGATGCCCATTTGGACCCGCACACTGGGAGGCAACGGTTTGCTCACTTGGAGAAAACAATCTCCAAGCAAGCAAGCCACTGACTCGTGCGCCCACCTCGTGGTGTGTGCCCTCCCCTCCCCTGCCTGCGCCTTGCCTCCCCTTGCCGTGCATGCACGCCTTCGCCTTGCCTCACCACACGCCCCGCGTGTGCCGCCCCTGTGCCGGCCCACACGCACTGCAGGCGCCACCTTTCCAGCCTGCACCCAGCACCAGCATCTTCCGACTGGCCCCTGGTGGAAAAGTTTGAGGAGCCCTGCTCTTGATCACTGCCATGGCGGAAAGATTGCAGCTGAACAGCCCTCTGAGAAGGGCACTTTAACTTGGTGCCATGGAATGAGCAAGGGCTTGGACCAGGGGTGCCCTGGCTCTGCTGGTGTGCGTTTCGGGTTGTCACCCATGCTTCACAAAGTGCATTGTTCACGTTGCATGCAGTGGGTGAAGTAGAAGCTTTGATAACAGGCAACACCAACCCCTCCCCGAAAGTTGAAGCAAAGGTGCACTTGCCCTTCATGCGCTGGGGGCATAATAGATGGACAGTGTTTACCCAGGAATGGGTGAAATGGCTGAAAGGCACTTAATTACTTGGGTTCTTCCTAGGCCTCGAACTTAAATGGTGGATCACTGGTAACAACGGTTTAAATCTGGACAAGTGGAGAGAAAGCAGGATATAAATGAGTGTAATAAAAAAATTATGAGTACTGAATCAGAGTTGTCCTCTACCCCACCAATAAAACTTCAGAGCAGACAACAGTCCAAAGCAGACCAGGAAAATGTGGGTTAGGAACTTGGGGTGAACTTGTAAACAGCCACTAAAGTATCTCCTGACTCTAAACCACGTTACTGCTAGAAAACTATCAGCTTTAGGCTTTTCTGGAGGTGATGGAAGATGGTGCAATCCTTAGGTAATGTTCCAAGAATATTTTCCCATTTGCTCTCCATGAGAGCCGAAATCTGGATCAGTGCAGTGGTTAGAGTGTTACACCAGGAGGCAGGAGATCCAGGTGCCAATCCCTGCATGGCTGCCAAGCTTCCTGGGTGACTTTGGACCAGTCATTGACTTGTAGCCCAAGTTCATAGAATAGCAGAGCTGGAAGGGGCCATGAAGGCCACCGAGCCCACCCCCTGCTGTTGCAGTCACCAAGTTACACCATCCCACTCAGGTGGCTGCCCAGTTTCTTTTTGAATGTCTCTGGTGTGGAAGAGCCCACTAGGCAGCTGATTCCACTGTCCTATTGCTCGGACAGTGAGAAAGCTTTTCCTGATGTCCAGCTGGAATGTGGGTTGTTGCGACTTGACTTGATTATTCTGTGTCTTACACACTGGTGACAGCAAGAAGTGAACTTGACCTTCCTCTTTGGGACAGCCTTTGAAGTAATTACAGACGGATATTGTGTCCCCCCCCCCCAGTCTTCTCAAGGCTGAACATGCCCAGTTTTCTCAGTTCCTCCTCACAAGTATTTCCAAAACTTGGATCATTTTTGTCCCCCTCCACTGGACCTTTTCTAATTTTTCTGCATCTTTCTTAAATCTTGGTGCCCAGAGCTGGACACTGTATTCCAGGTGAGGTCTGACTAGTGAGGAGTATAGGGAAATGACTACTTCTTGTGACTTGGAAGTAATACTTCTGTGAATGCATCCCAAAATAGCATTTAACCTTTTGGTGGCTGCATCGCATTGTTGGCTCCTGTTTAGCCTATTGTCCACAAATATTTTTTTATTATTTTTATTTTATTAAAACATTTTTATGCCGCCCCATTCGCTGAAGCCTCGGGGCGGCTTGCAACAATAAATTAAAATACCATTTTAAAATATATACATTAAAATACAAATATATAATATAAAACATACAATACTCCAAGATCTTTTTCTTGTTCAGTTCTGTTGATCCACACATTCCCCATCTTGTATTGGTACATTTGGTTTCTTTTTCCTAGGTGGAGGAGTTGGCACTTGTCTCTATTGAAAGCTGTTGCTGTCAGCCCACTGTTTATCAGGACCATTCTAAATCTTCATTCTGTCTGCTAGAGTGTTCACTATTCCACCCAGCTTTGTGTCATCTGCAAATCTGATTATCCTTCCTTTCGCTTCCTCATCTAAATCATTAATACAGATGTTGAAGAGCACTGGACCCAGGACTGAGCCCTGTGGCACCCCAGTTTGAGAAGGTGCCTTTGCTGAGTGATCCTTGTGTCCAATACAACAGACAATTTTGGATTCACCTAATAGTTTCCCTATCTAGTCCCCTTTTTGCTGTTTTGCTTATCAGGAGGTCATGGGGCACTATCTTGAAAGCTTTGCTAAAGTCTAGGTAGATAATGTATACAGTGTTTCCTCTGTCTATTTCAATATTACCCTGTCAAAAAGTGAGATTAAATTAGTCTAGCAGGATTTATTTTTCATAAGTTTATCTTATCCCAGCAAAAATACATCTTATGATGTTTGAACAGTTCCTGCACCCTGTCTTAAGGCTGATGTAAACTGGCAGACTAAAGCACTTGATCCGTCTCTCTGTTGTAATGTTCAACCTGAGTAAGAATTTTGAAAGTGGTTGTCACTGATTCTCATCAAGGTATGCATGGACTGGGTTTTTGGAGAACTTGAAGCTCTGTACTAGAGAACTTTTGCTACAAAGCCTTGTGCAATTGTAGACGTGTGTGTGTGTGTAGACAAGTGTATTTTTGACTTCCCATTCTTTTAAGTGTGGGAACTGTTGAATCAAGTGTGTGCACCACAACATAGAAAAATAGAAACAGAGCGAGTCAGAAGGGGCCTCCCGGGCCATCTAGTCTGATCCCCGGCTCCAGCCAGCTCTGCTCACAACACGCCCACCATGTGCACGTCCAGCCTGTCCTTGAACACCCGCACCGATGGGGCCTCAACCACCACCCGGGGAAGCCCATTTCACACCCTCAGGGTCCTGTCAGGAAGTGCTTTCCAGCATCCAAATTGAACCTTGGTTCTGTGAGCCTTGTTCCACTGGAACATGTCCTGCCCTCCTCTGCAGGGGAGAACAGGTCTCTACCCACCTCTGTGTGACACCCCCTCACATACCTGTATGTCGCCAACAGATCCCCTCTGAGTCTCCTCTTCTCCAGGCTTAAGAGACCCGGTTCCTTCAGTCTTGCCTAATAGGGCTTTCCCTGCAAAATGGCCACCGGCCTTGTGACCCTATGCTGCACTGACTCTAACTTGGCTATATCCTTCCTGTAATGAGGGGCCTAGAACTGAACACAATACTCCAGTTGTGGGTGCACCAGAATCATACAGAGTGGCAGTAATACCTCTCTCGATCTAGAAGCTTTGCTTCTAGCTATGCATCCAAGGGTGGCATTTGGCCTCTTGGCCACCACGTCACACTGCTGACCCATGTTTAGCCTGCAGTCGACCAGCACCCTGAGGTCCCTTTCACAAGTGCTGCTCTCCAGCCACTTGTCCCCTAACCTGTACTTGTGACACCCATTCCTATGCCCCAAGTGCAAGACCTTGCACTTATCCACATTGAACGCCATCCTGTTGCCTCCTGCCCACTTCCATAGTCTGGCCAGATCCTTCTGGATCTGGAGTACCTGCTCCTCAGTTGTGGCCACTGCCCCCATTTTAGTATTCTCAGTATGATCAGCAAACTGCTCATCAGCAAACTGGTTATCATTAGTATGATCAGGAAACTGGTCATCCCCTCTTCCAGGTCATTGATGAAAAGATTGAACAGGATCAGCCCCAGGACAGAGCCCTGAGGGACCCTGCTTGTCACTGGCCGCCATCCCGATGATTCCGAGCGCTTACGTCCGTATATGCCCGACCGCCCTTTGAGATCTGCGGGAGAGTCCCTTCTCCGGGAACCCTCCATGAAAGAAATTAGGAGAGTAA